ACGGAGGGGGAGGGAGGGGGATGGGGAAGGGGGGGGGAAGGATGAGAAATTGGCGGGCAACGAAGTCAGTGTTGCCATTTTCCCGCCAGGTCTATATCTCTCTGGTGTGATCTAGCGGATTTTTTTTTTTGAAGGCTTATTCCATATTTGGCGATTTTTAAGTCCTTTTTCTAGCGGGAAAATGAGGAATTTTTAATATCGTATGTCTTGCGGTTTTATGGAAATATCAATGGCAACAGTGACCGAGGTTCTTGCGGGAAAGCGATCGCGTATCCTGGTGAGCCGCAGTCACAGGAGCCAGCAGGCCGTGAGGCAAGGCGCAAGCAGGAGGCAAGGCGCAAGCAGGTCATGAGGCGAGGAGCAAGCACGAGACACTCGCTTGCGACATCCGACACGCGCGATCAGGTGCCAATCCGCGGCGGGAAAATGCACCGCAACCGCAGTGTTGCAATTACATCTCAGTTCAGCTTCGGCCGGGGAGAGAGAGAGAGGGAGAGGGAGAGGGAGAGGGAGAGGGAGAGGGAGAGGAGAGGGAGAGGGAGAGGGAGAGGGAGAGGGAGAGGAGGGAGAGGAGAGGGAGAGGGAGAGAGAGAGAGAGAGAGAGAGAGAGAGAGAGAGAGAGAGAGAGAGAGAGAGAGAGAAGAGAGAGAGAGAGAGAGAGAGAGAGAGAGAGAGAAAGAGAAGAAAGAGAAAGAGAAGAGAGAGAAAGAAAAGAATGAGAGAGAGAGAAAGGGAAAGACAAAAAGAAAGAAAAGGCAAAATCAAAGAAAAAGCACGAAGAGAAATCCAAAGACAGCCAAAAAGAGAGAATTCCAAACAGAGAAAGACAGAAAGAGCGAGAGAGAGAGAAGGGCAAGGAGAGATGTTATGAGAGCCGGGCTGACGCTCACGTAAGGATTCCCATCAACGGATCCTATTTCCGTCTCCTTCCCCCTCGTCCTCCGGCTAATTCGCTCCCCAGCTCCTCATGGCAGCAGCGCAGGTCATCTTTAGGTGCATGGATGTGTCAAAGGTCAATGTCTGAAGTTCCGTGGATGACGAGGTCAAAGGAGGTACTATATTAGGCCTTAAATTATAGAATAAAAAATTAAGCTTATCCCAAAAAAGGAAAGAAATCCAAGTATACTAATACCAAGCCTGCAGGTCTATACAAGCACGTGTGCTTGGCGTCCACTCAATTAATGACGGGATTTATATAAAAAATGAAATCTAGGTCGCAAAAGGTCATAGGTCAGCTGAGATAACCAGGAATAGGAACATAGGGTTGTTTTCCGGGCTTTGGCATGCGTAGCGAGGACAATAAACAGACAGACAAGCACATAAATGGATGAAAGAATGAATAGACAAATAAATAAACAATTAAACTAGCCAAAAAATGAATGAATAATTAAATAGATGAAATAAATAAATAAACAAATGGATAAATTCATGAGGAATTCAATAGATAGATAGATATACGTATATATAAACCAATGGATGAATAACTAAATAAATCAATAAATAAAGAGACATATGTGGATAAGGTCATACAAAAAGAAATAGATAAACAAACAACAAACAACATCGCGTGTAAGCCATTAATTGTCACGGTCTGTATAGTACATAGACCTTGTTAATTGTTGCCGGGGTCAGCCAAGAGTGGCTCACAAAAACATACATAAAATAAAAACACGAACAGTTGTCCTCATTTAAATGCTCATCACATCCACTCTCTCACGGACATGTTAATTGCAAGGGTGCGAGGAGTTAACCCTACGTCAGTCTAAATTGTTGCCAAGCCTAGATCCTGCTAACAGCTCTCGGGCACAGTAACAACCATTAGTGAATCATTTGAAAGTCGACACGCTTTTGCACTCAGACAAATTAGCAGTTTGCTACTCGTTTAAATTCCTTGCTTTGTCGTTGAAATTGTCATCACTGTTGCAAGGGTTATTATTCTTACGGCTTTCGTCCGTACCAAATTAGATGATTATTGCTACTATTGCTTCAAGGCAGAGCAGTATTGATAATAGGGATGATGATGATGAGAATGGTAAAAACAAAACAACAATAGTATTTATTATGATAACAAGATAATGATAACAATGATAATCATAAGAATGATTAAATAATGATGTATAACACTTACAATAGTAATAATTATTATTATTGTCATAATAATTATTATTATCATTACTACGTAGATAATAATGAGTAATAATAATCAATAAAATGTCACTTTCTCAGTTGGTTTTATTTTCTTGATTTCTTTACCATATTCTTGTTGATGTTATCGTTGTAATGTCCTCGCATACTTCTTTCTTTCTTCTCTTCGCATTTTTCGTAGTCCTTTGTTTCGCTCTTTCATCCAGATGAGCGATGCACAAAGTAGGCCAAATCTTCCACGAGATATGAATTGCTGAAGGACTGAAATGCATCGTAGCATGACGGAGAAATGATTTGCGCGCTTTAGCAGGCGCTTTCCTGCTTCCCCTCTTCCTGCTCTTCCCGGTTTTCTTCTTTGCCTGCTTTCTCTCTCTTTCTTTCTCTTTCTTTTTCTTTTCTCTTTCTCTTCACTCTCCCCCCTCCGCTGCTCTCTTCTCTTCGGCTCTTCCTCCTCTCTCTGCTCTTCCCGGTTTTCTCTTTGTTTTTTTTTTCTGTTTGACCTTATCCTTTTCTGCATCTCTCTCTCTCGTTTCTCTTTCCGTTTCTATCTTATACATCCCCACGTACTCACTCTCGCTCTTTCTCCTCCTCTACGGCTCTTCCTATCTGTCTGTCCTCTCCGTGTTTGCCTTCTTCCCTTTTTCTTGCCCTTCCTCCTTCCTCTTTCTCTCTTCTGGCTAGTGAGATTAACGCGCGTATCAGATTCCTTTCGGATGATCGATAGACAGATTCCAATTCTTTGTCGTAAACAAGGTGGCATCCCATAAGATTTCTGTTGTTATTCTTTATGATCGCCATCGCTTCTTGAATAAGCTTGCACTTTGTCATCATCGTTTTCGTTTTAACGGTATTATCGTTACATTGCAATCTTTAGTACTAAAAAAAAAAAGAGTAAAAACAAGTATCCTTCCGTATCATTGTTTACGTTATTCGATCGTACTGACTACTCAGATGTAAAGCCGTCATTGCAATACTCTTTTTTCAAAAGATAGCGACAGAGAACGTCACATAATCAGTCAACTCGATGCATGACCTCCATCAACAAGACTATCACTCGGCTCTTTCCCTGCGATCGCTGCCTGGGCGAAGACTTTTTAGCCTTTCAACTCTCGATGAAGCCATCAAGGGTCGTGTCACACGCAGCGCCCGAGCACAGCAGCTTCTGCGAGTCCCTGAAGAAATGTTGTTCTTGGGCGCCAGTAAGGAGCTTAAAGTTTTTAAATGCTTTTACTGATATATTCTTTTATATCGTTGCATATCTAGTAACCTGTTGATTAGTTCGTCTGAAGGTTTCTTTGAACTTGTTGGCTTGCGAGAGGCAGGGAGAGAAGACAAGGTGACACCCAGACAAGGTAATTACAAGGTAGCGAAGGCAGGTAATCCAGGCCCATAACATAATTAAGAAAGTTATTAAATGAAGGGTGAAGTGAACATATAAGGAAGATCAAGGAAAGGAAGGATGGGAAAGGAAAGCCAGGGAAGTGTTAAGCCATTTAGCAAGTTAACCAGTGAGACACACGTATAAACCAAACAGACAAGATCTGTAATTACTTAATAGCAACAATCTATCCGCACAAGCTAGTCACCCATTAACCCTTCTTGTATCCATTGACCTTTTCAATTCAAATCTCTTACACCCTCTTTTGCATCACCATTCAAGCCTTCGTTTATGACGTGCACTTCAACGTTATCGAGACATCCACTTAACGATGACCGGAGAATTCCCTTTCAAAGCTGCTCTCTCTCCCTGTGGTCAGCCTGGACACGTGTCCCCTCGACTGGGAGTGACGATAACGGCTCGCTCGGCGACGGAGATAGTGCTTACGGGAAAGGAATTTGCAATTCTTTTGTAAAACTGAGCGGAGTAAAGGACACAAAGGAAGTTAGAGTGGGAAAGAGAGAAGGGGAAGGAAGAAGGGAGAGGGGAAAAGAAGAGGAGGCAGGAGGAGGAGGAGGAAGAGGAAGGAGAGGAGGAAGAGAGAGAGGAAGGAGAGGAAGAAGAGAGAGAGAAGGAAGAGAGAGAGGGAGAGAGAGGGAGGAGAGAGGAGAGGAGGGGGAGGGAGAGAGGGAGGGAGAAGGGAGGAGTGGAGGGAGGAGAGAGAGGGAGAGAGAGGAGAGGGAGAGGGAGAGAGGAGAGAGAGAGAGAGAGGGAGAGGGAAGAGAGAGAGAGAGAGAGAGAGAAGAGAGAGAGAGAGAGAGAGAGAGAGAGAGAGAGAGAGAGAGAGAGAGAGAGAAGAGAGAGAGAGAGAAAAGAAAGAGAGCAAGTCAGAAAGAAAAAAAAGAGAGGGTCATTTATCAGATACAGACAAGGCAATGAAACAATCAAGAACAATCCGAACTGCGTTTTCTCGCAGCATTCTCTCGACCATAGACTTGCACTAAACCAATTACAGCGTAAGACGGACTACGGTCATCGCTTGTACAGCTTCCCCTCTTCCTGCTGTTCCCGGGTTCCGGCTAGGACGAGTGTGTTGAAAATCGGAATTTGTTTTAACTGGGACTCAACTCTAATTACTTTTTAATAAATCTTTACTTTGCTGGAAAAAATAAAACGAGAATAAAGCCGACTCGGAGATTTATATCACCGAGAGCAACGATAAATCTCAGTAATTAAGGTATAGAAAAATAGAATACTAATCAATAATTCATCCTGGCAATATGGCTAAGGGTGAATTATTTCAGGGAACAAAGCATGCAATTAACGTTTTTAATGAAGGGACAAATGATCGAACGTAAGGTTTCGTAAAATCGTTCATTCTCTTTATATTCCTCGTGTGAAGCGTGACAACCGCGTATAGCAAACCTTTCATACTCTTTTTTTTATTACAACGAAGTCGCTAGAATTACGGCCTTAC